GTCGCTTTGTTCTATAGATTCGACATGCTCTTGAGATAAAATGATTTTATCGGGCGAGAGGTTGTAAGTCATAATAAAGCTAGGATATATGATGCAAAGTCTAAGCCAGTTACAGGACATCTGTTTTCGAGACCCTTTACTGGTGGGAAAACATAAGCTTCAGGGAATTTTCCAGTTTCTGTTTATTGGCTTGAAATCATACTGGTTAGGATCCCTCTTTGCCACGCATTAGCACTTAAAATATTGCAAACCTTCATACCTCCCGCAAAATAATATGCATCAAATAATGACAAGAAGGCTACGGATGCTACCTCTCTATACTTATTAATTGCATTATGCTTTACCATTAATCGCTGGTAACTAAGAGCGTTGATAATGCAGTATTTGGCTACTTCATGCATCTGCTCAGCCGTTGTGGCATTTGTTTCCTTGAATGCCATCTCATAATATTTGTTCATGTGGTGAATAGGCAAATCTACTTTATTGTCAAGGTTACACTTCTTTAAGTAATATGCGAGACTACTTTTTTCATCTTTAGAATAAAATCCCATAAAACAGGGTCGGATATCAATAGTCACACATTCTGGAATTTTAAGATGTTTTGAATAGAAGTTCCTATCGTTTACTTTTATCATATTATACTGATATTGCCATTTTGTAATTTTTTCCAGGCTTGATGGCTTGAATGATATATGATTAAACATCCATTCGAACACTCCTAATTTATTAGCTTTCTCCACAATAAATCTCCAGTCGTATTGAGAATCATTAAAGCCTATATATATATCCAGGGCTAAAAGTTTCTAACACAAGGTGAATGCTTTTAGTAAATTAGTTTAAGATCCACATATAATTGTAATCAGTCGTGGATCTGGTGCTATCTCGACATCAACAAGACAAATTTGTTTTAACAGTTCAGGATCATCTTTTCAGTGAACCGTCATGCAAATCATGAACACAACGTTTTCTTCGTGTTTTGTATTAGGTATCTCACCCATTTTTCGTGAGCTATATGTTTCGATATCCCACATGAGAACAAGGATGCGATCTCATGAAAGCGCTAAGGAAAATAATGGATTATTATAATCGTCTTCACTTATTGGATTATAATTATTTACAGATACTTAGAAAAGATAAGTACCCTCCTGAATGTGTTTGTATAAATAATTACTTAATACTGCCCAACTCAAAAGAGGTAATCTCTCTTTACAGGCTACTTTGCGATAATAGTACTGGTAGTTTAGATCATCTGAGGTTATACACATTCCAACAGCGCGAACTGCTTTTAATGCATTATACTTATCAAAATGATTCCAAGTGCTAATACAGATATATGATTTCTTTTCTGTATGATACCCTCAAAGTAGAAAAGTGCTAATATACTCAATCCCAAATTTTGATATACCTCTGAGGGTATTAGACAGTATATTTACTAATTTAGTCTTAAACATAGATAGTGGCATCTCTTCAGGTACTACGACATCAAAGAAAGGTTTAATATCTGTAATATTTATGACCGCTTTTTGTCCATTAATTAAAGTACCAGCAATACGCAAAATATAGGTAGAGATCCCATTTATATATTTGGTATTATCACTAATTTCAGTAGGTATGAAATGTATGGGTTGTTTGCCGGATATGCTTTGTTGAAGTATAGCAAACATTCCATTATCATATTCTACTATGATCTCATTACATGATGGAATGCTGACTAAGGGTTTGGCGCTGTCATAGCGGGCAAGAGTTCCAGAGCGATCAGTTTAGACGAAATTAGTTTGTGTATGCATGATGTTAGTTTAAAAATATTTATATTATTTTATAAAATTCGAAAATGTTTAATTTATTTTTTTTTGATAGATGCAAAAAAGAAGGGATAGCAAGATGGTAACAGGGCCAGGAATAAATGTATTCTTGATAGATGAGTACTTAGGGTATTCTTCTTCGTAATTATTATATAAAAATTGGAAGAAGAATACCCTAACACTAGTATGTAGTCAGGTATAATATGACATTTAGGGTAGGTAACTTCGTAATCTATTATATAAATATTGGAAGATGCCTACCCTAATACTAGTATATACCCAGGTGTGGCATAAAGGCTACATCTTGATGGTATAAATAGACCGGTCATGATAATACATAGCGCACCTCCAACTTCAGGATGTAAAATCAGCATAAATATACTGGCAACTAATGGGCAATAGTTGGGTTGTAAAATGGCATCAGCTTTGATCTTTTAAATTGTATACCTTTCTCGAACATGGCAAAATAAGACATGCAGAAAATGATATAATCCAAGGCTAGTGTTAAGAAAAGAGCATGAAAGTAGTATAGCCAGATCTGATTAGGCATACACCGATTCTGGATCATCTAGAAGGATTTCTCGCATATCATTCAAAATTTCTGAAGCACTCTAATCATTAATATTGTTAACGGAGTTCTCAATTCAGTGCTCCAATTTGTAATCATTTATAAAATGAATGTATTTATTAAATATTTCACAAGGGTCACCAACCTGGCAACCAAGCTCAGTACGTTCACAGTATATCCCATATTTCGGCATTCTGGCAGGCAACAAAATAGGTAAAGAAGGAAAGCATCTTCAATATACAACCAGGTATCTAAACATTACGGAAGGCTAACAACCTTCAAAATAGAAATTGACATCCATTCAGGCGTAGGAGGTCAATACCAATCAGATAGCTACAAGGGAATAAAAAGACCACAGAGCACTAAAAATGGTAACAAGGTAACAGTCTAACCATAACTAGGTAATAGTCTAACTACAACTAGGTAACAGTCTAACCATAACTAGATAACAATATAGCAGAACTGGATAACACTCTTATAAGAGTGTTATCCAGTACATATTACAAATTTATTTAGTGATTTTACCTAAATATTTTTTTATTTGTGATCAAATAATCTGTGAATTTTATTATGAATATAAATTATTATCAATGAAAAATTAAGCAAATTTATATTTGAATTGTCTATAAATTTAAATTTATCTATATAAATATATTTGAATAATAATATTATATAATAAATAAATGCTTTCTTTTATTATTATTATTAAAGTATTAATCATGCAAAAAAATATTCATATACAGTATATTATCAAATTTATTTTAAATTACTAATTATATTTACTTAATAAAAAGATTTTTTTAACTAAATATCAAGTATTTTTACAAAAAACTAAATTCAATAAATTTGATATTACTATATTCTTTTTATTATTATTACATTACCAGTTTTAATAAAAAGTCTTTTATCTGAAGTTAAAATAGCAGGAACTGCAATGTTTATTTTATTTCTAGCTTATTTAAATTATTTTAATTAGTATTAATAACTACTATATTTATAATATTATCTAATATAATTACTATTATAATTAAAGTAATATTATTGATCTTATAATAAATATAGTATAAATATTTAATATAATTAACATAATTAATATACAGTAGCGATCATAAGTATCTGACTGTCTCTAACTCTAGCTATAAGTAAGTAAATTTAAAATTTTTTTTTATTTAAAAAATACATAACCAACTAATTAAAATTAATATATTATGTAGTCACCATCTAACTCTATAAGTGCAGCTGTACGTCTTTTCATGTTAGCTACTAAATTGCGGCAAGTACAGATGATAATCAGTTCTATTCTTTATAAGTTCTCTTTTTAACTCTCTAATTAATTGAATTTTTTTTTGTATATTAATTTTTATTAACCTCCAAATGTTTTCTATAGGATTTTAGTCTAGAGAAATTAATGGTCAAGAAAGTACCTTAATGCCATTTTCTTCCTTCCATTTTTTCGTAATTTTTGATTGATGCTTTGGATCATTATCTTCTTGCAAGATCCAATCTATGTTATCTTCACCAAAAAGTTTAGAGGTGAAAGTTAGAAGACCCTGCTCATAAATAGTACACATAAATTCAGCATTAAGGTTTTTCTGAAAACAAAATAGCTTACCAAATCTAGAAGCAGAAAAATATCTCTAAACATGAACTTTTGGTGGATACTTAACAGAACAAAACACTTTTTTTCTACCAGGAAACTGCCAAACCTTTTTTTTTGATATATATAATTGAAATGTACTCTCATTTGTAAAAACAACTCAATTCCAATCAAAATTCTTATGTTTTTTTACTTATTGTAACCTTTTTTTCAATGGTCTTCTTTAAGCAAAAGTTTAAAATTTTTATTACTAAACTTTCCTCCAGATTTATGAAGACGTTACCTTACTGTTTCTACAATAAGTCCAATACCTCTTTCTTTCATTTTTTCTTATATTTGAATAGCTGTTATATTATGTTCTTTCTCTGCCATTTTTACAATCTTGTCATCTTATTTTGCAAATGTTATATAAGGCCATTCTGGTTTTTCTAAAGTACTTAGGTCTCAAATTTCATGATATCTTTTAATTTAATAAATAGCTGTAGACTTACTACAATATATCTGTTTAGCAATAAATCTAAAACTAAACTTTAGACCAGCTGGGTGCTCACGTAAAAAGACAATTTTATATTGTTTCTTTAAAGAAAGTTCCATTTTTCAAGCGAAAGTTTGATGATCATCTAAATTTTTTTTTGTATCATTGACACTTATAAATTTACAGGTGATTATGTATTATATTACATTATATTTCTAGAAAATTTAAGGGGTAGTTATATAATAATTTTGGATAATCTCAGGCGGTCAAATACTTATGACCGCTACTGTAATAAGATTTACTGATTTTAAACTTAAAAAAATTATTTATTATAATTTAAACTAAGAATAATCACAATTTTTCTTAAGTATAATGTTTTGCTATATCTAATATCATTTAATAAAATTTAATTAATAATAAAACTTAAAATAAAAAATGCATATATGATTAACTTTTTCTATCATTTTTTGAAAACATATTTTATACAAAAAAATCAAGTTGTAATGATATGATATATCTTGAATAACATTTAATTTATATTAGATCATTTTGTATAATTTTATTTTTAAATAAACTACAATTTACTATATATTTTTTATTTTAAAATTCTTTTAATAAAAAATTTGGTTTATACTCTTAAGCTTTTCTTAAATGATAATTATTAAAAAAACTATTTTATAATATTAATTATTTAATTTCTATATTATATTTTTCATTTCATTTTATTTTTCTTTAAATTTAAGATTCATTTAATTAGCTAATAATATATCAGATAATATGCTAAATGATTTGAATTATTATCAAAAATTAAAGCTGTTATATAATTAGAAAATAAGTCTTAAAATTAGTATTATTTTATACTTTACTTATTCAAGTAAATATTAAATAATCAAATAATCTTTTAATTTTTATCATGTGTTAAATAAATATGTGTTTTATTTAATATATATTTAAATATTAGGTTTAAAGAATAAGTATATATAAATAAAGCTAGGAATTGATAAAAATTTAGCTTTTGCTGATAAGTTTATAATAGGTATTTTAAATTGCAAAAACATTTATCTCATAAAAAAGTGATTAATAAATAATTAGTAGATTAGGTATTTCATAAAAGACTATAGTGATAATAAACTATATTATATAGTTGTAGCATCATTCAATCAAGTTATCATTAAAGTTAGAAACTGAGTCTA